AGATTTGGTACTGATGAAGAGAATCTGACATACTTAAGTCTATCAGGCTGGCCATATAGCTCAGTGGATTAAAGCACCTGCTTAGGCAGATGCAGGGACCAGGCTTTGATCCCTGGTATGCTGTGCTGGCCCCGCCCCTGGGGCACACTGAGACTTTGATTGAGACTGGGTGTGGTGGCGTGAACCTGTAATCCCAGTGCTTGGGAGGCTGACAACAGGAGAATCACTATGAGTCCAATCTGTGTAGTGAGACCCTGTAGACCCTGTACTAAATACGTTAAAAAAATAAATAAATCTATCAATAATTAAGTTCTATAAAAATGCGAACCTAAAAAAAGGATATCTAGTCAGATTTTCTGACCTTGTAAAAACAAAAAAAATAGATTACCAAATATAGGTTGTACTATGTATGTAGTTAGTACAGGAAATATAAAAATACATTAGAACATAAAATATGAAATTCTATGTCTCAAAATTATAAAATCCAGTGTTACTTACAGTCAACATTTTCTGGAAATTTTCTGTGAATATCTTTGTAAGTATCTAATGCTTTTTGGTAATTACCTATAAATAAAAAAGAAAAATCATTCTTATCAAATCAGAGAAACAGCCTTAAGCAAAATAGGAAAAATGAGTTTGGGTCAAAAATCATTTTTTTAAATCTAAGCAAATAAGTCATCTCTTTGGGCTTCTCTGTATGAGAGGAATGGCTATTCTAATCTTGGAAGAATGCCTATACTGGGAGAGCCAAAGTGAAATAGAGACAAGGACATACCACCTCCAGCAGATTCTAAATGAACACTCCTGCTTTTAACCTGTGCTTCAGCAGCTCAAGCTGGCTGAAGTCAGTCAGAAAAGCTCATGAGTATGTGCACTTCATAGGACTGATGTTAAAATGATCTAGGTACTGAAAACTCACACTGACACATATAACATATGTATAATACAGTTATTAATGACCAAGTATTAAAATGATTTAAGGATTACTCTGAGCATGTATGAAGTATCTGTGGTGTATCCTAGTGACACTCAGAGATACAGAAACTACCCACAAAACTGGATGAGAACTGCCAGTACTTGTACAAGTTGTACTTTCCGTTAAGACTGTGTGTATGTGCGTGTGTGTGCGTGCGTGTGTGTGTGTGTGTGTGTATGTTTTGAGACAGGGTCTCACAATGTAGTTGGGAATGGTCTTGAACTTACTGTATATCCCAGGCCTGGGTTAAAACCACAATGAGCTTCTGCCTCAGCCTCCCAAGTGCTAACAGTAGAGGCATGTGCCACAATGGCCACCTTCCTGCACCATTTTTATGCTATACAGGAGGATTATACATGTGTAGCAGTGATCTCCTAGTGTAATCTCTGATATATTAAGCATATCATTCAATGTACAGTGTAAAACTCTCAGGGTCTCCATTATTTAGAAAAGTATTATCAGTGCAAAGCATAATACCAGCAGATCAGAAAACACAAAGATCTCTAGTGATCTTTGGTATAAAAATATATAGTCCAGTTGCAAGCTTTCCTCAGACTTCTCAGGTGTAGGACAGTTTCATAAATTTGGCTGAGCATACTGGACCTTGTTAATCACAGGAGTAGAATGTATACATTAATATAAAAAGAATGCTTATTATTTTCCTTATGGATAACTCATTAAAAATTATTACATGTTAGCTTTCAAAAACAATCTGTTTTATGGGGCTGGGGAGATAGCTCAGCCATGTGAGTGCCTACCTGGCAAATGTAAGGACCAGGTTTGATCTCTGGTACTGCATGCCATGCTGGCTCTGGATTCTGTGTAGACCACCAAAACTGGGCATGGTGGTGTACACCTGTAATCTGCACTGGGGAGGCTGAGACAGGAGGATTATGAGTCCGAGCTGCATAGTGAGACCCTGTACCAAATAAATAAATACCCAAACAATCTGTTTTGTTTTTTTGATAGTACTAGGAATTAAACCCAGAACCTTTGCGCTAAATTAAATCTCCAGCCATTTTTAAATTTTTGAGACAGGTCTAGCTACATCACTAAGATGCCTAGGCTGGGCTCAAACTTGCCATCCTCCTGCCTCAATCTGTCAAAGTGCTGGGATCATAGGTATTCTGAAATAATCCATTTTTAAAGGGAGGTGCTGGAATAGATGACCTGTGCAAGCTGGGTATGTATACAGCTCAATGACATGCTCTGGGTTTCATCCCTAGCTACAAACAAATAGAGCAAACAAACAAAAAACCCAAAACAAAACAACTAAACATAAAGAACAATACAAGAACAAATTTTTCTGCACATAATTATTCTTTTTCTTATTATGATTCAATTATGTATAGTTATTTTAAAAGCTGGTCTTTTAACAAAGATACAACTCACCACATTTTATGCACAATTATCTAAAAGAAAACAAAAATACAGAAAAAATGAGTAAAATCAAAACATTTACCACTTCTTTTAAAACAACTTGCTACCATCAGCTTCCATTTCACTTGTGTAGGCCTATAAAAGAAATACATTAGTTGAAATTAGAGGTGATACAAAAATTATGAGATGTTCAAATCATTTTACAAAGCAGTGTGTATGTACCATCTTTCAATTACTCTCTGACTTTTTAGTTTGTTTTTATAACTGAAAATAGCTGAAATATAATTTCCTTTATTATTACCTGTCATGTTAGGACATTTAAATTCACAAGTCCTTCAAAGTTCATCTAGCTCATGTCTTTCCTTGGATGCTCTTGGGAGAACACTCACATCTATTTGGTTAAAAACCATTACATTCTACTGAACACAATTGCTATTTAAAAAAAAATGTTAAGTTTGCCATTTTCTTTAATCACTATATTTAGGCTTGCAAATATTCAAGGAACAGCTTTTGATCTTATGTTTGAACATAAGGCTTTAAAGGAGAGACAAAAAGAATTCTATTTATCCCTTTTCCTCCCTTAAAAAGGAATCAAATCATTTTTTAGAATAAACAATCATAACCAGGATTTTTAAACACTGTTAAAAAGAAAAAAAAAGAGCAAAAATTGCAGAAATAATAACCCCAGGAACAATTTAATGTTCCTTTCACTTTTGTGCATTTCCCTTCTACTTACCTGACGGCCATAAAGACAATCTCAGTTCCTACTCAATTTGAATGCAAACCTCCCAGCTTTAGAGTGAGATTAATCTGGATTTAAATCACAGCGCTGCTACATGGGCAAGTTATTTAACTTCAAAGCCACTGCCTACACACCCACCTACTGTGATCTAAATAAAATACATATCTAACCATATTGCTTTCCTCCTAAAAATCTGTCACCTCCTCCTCCCACATGTTAAAACCAAGATTCTAACCTGGTTTATCTACTTCCTAGTCCTTCCTGTTTCTCCAACTCATCTTTTGCAATGCCTTTCCTAACACCTTATTCTACAGATACTCCAAGAAGCATGGACATTTGCTGGACTCCTGGTATTTGCACAAAGCATCACCCAACTTGGAGACTCATTCCAAGCTCTGAACTCTTCAAAGCTAGGGTGGATTCAACTGTTCTAAATACTCTCTAGCCCCCAAGAATTTCTCAGCACAGCACTTAGCATACGGTTTTATTTATTTGTTTTTCTGAATACCAACATTACTATCCTTACTCAATGAATGCAACTGCTGTCCTGACTTCTAATATTTTGAACTTGGCTGTTTTTCAATTTTACAGAAATGAAATCACGCAGCATGTATTTTTCTAACACCTGTGTTATTAAGCTATATTTCACAAACTACACAATTCATTCAATTAAAGTATACAATAATTTCAATATTACAGTAATTTTCAAAAATTATGATAAAATACAACACAAAATTTGCTGTTTTAACTATCTTTAGGTTCAATATCATTAATTACATTGATAATGCTGCACAACTATTACCACTATCTACTCCCAAAACATATTTAATATTACCCAACAAAAATCCTGTGACCATTAAGCAATAACTCTATATTCCTCTCACCCTAATTCCTGTTAGTTTCAAATTTCATTTTGTCTCCCTAAATTTGCCAATTTTACATACAGTAAGCTCCTGACTTAGGAACATTTGAGTTAGGAACTTTCACAGATATGAACAAACCTTGCACTGGGAACATTCACAGCTGTGAACAAGTTGATCAAGAAGCTCACATGGGTAGGGCATCCTGGTTGTCTGCTGTATGCTTACTGTACAGTGTGATCATCAACATAAAGAGATGCTTGAGGTTGCTTCAGTGTCCAAGTTTGCTTGTTTTTCCTTTTTTTCCCCAGTTTTTTTTTCAGTTGTCCCAAATATAACTTTTTTTTTTTTTTTGAGGAACTGGGGATTGAACTCAGGGCCTTGTGCTTGCCAGGGAAGTGCTTATTCTACTGAGCCATCTCCCCGGCTCCCTAACTTTGTTTTATAAATACACGATACTACCATCAAATCAGGTTTGTGTTTGGTTTTTTCATGCTTTATATTGTGTATCTGTGTCAAACTGTATAAGGCTCATTTTGTTGGACTCAGGAATGAATCTCACTTAGTAATGTTCTCCCAGGATAGAACTCATTCATAAGTTGGGGACTTATTGTACTTCATGTAAGTGGTCATATAAGTGGCATCATACAGCATTTTTTTCTGTGTGCCTGGCTTCTTTCACTTAGCATACATATTTTAAAGGTTTTTCCACAGTGTAGGATGTATCTAAACTTTTTTACAGTAGAGAAATATTCATATATATATATATATCTCCAGATTTATCTATCCATCTTTGGTGGACACAAGATGTTTCCATCTTTGGGCTAATGTGAATGATGATGCTATGAATTCTGCTTTTATTTCTACTGGGTATATAGCTAGGAGTAAAACTTGTATAATATGGTAATTCTAAGTTTAGCTTTATGAGGGATGGACAAACTGTTTTCAAAAAACACCATTTTATATTCCCACTAGCAATGTACAAAGGTTCTAATTTTTCCATGTCCTTTCCAATACTTGCTATTCCCCACTTCGATAACACTACCCTGAAAGGTGTGAGGTGGAATTTCACTGCTTTTGATTTACATTTCACAATGACTAAAGGCAGTATCTTCTCATGTGCTTGCTTATTTATATCTTCTTTGCAAAAATGTCTACTCAAAATCTTTGCTTATTTTTTAATTGGTTTGCCTGTAATCGTGAAATATGAACTATGGATTTTGACCTCTTATCAAATGTATGATTTGTAAATATTTTCCCCCACTTTGTAGTTTGTCTTTTCACTTTTTTCCTTTGCTAAGGAAAAGTTTTTAGTTTGATAAAGTCTAATTATATATTTCTTGTGCTTTTGGTATCATTTCCTGTAAATCACTGACAAATTCAATGTCACGAACATTTTCTACCAAGATCTCACAGTCAGGGATTGCGATGTCTTCTGCCTTGCATTTGTTGCCCAGAATTGCTTTTTCTATTCTAGGTTTTCTCTGGTTCCAAATGTCCATCAACTGTGATAAAAAGATGTGTGTTTTAAACAACATATAATGGAGTACTATTCTGCTATAAAGAAGGATAAACTTGAGACATTTATTGCTAAATGGATGGCGCTTGAGATCCTACTTATAAGTGTAATAAATTAGACACACATCTGTAAAGATTGCAATGTCTCATTGATGTGAGAAACTGAAAATATTAGTAAGAACCAAATTGTACAAGAGATATGGAGAAATGGGAAGAAATTAGTCAGAAGGGGAAGGAAAAAGGAATGAAGGGAAAAGAAAAAATAAGAAGGATAAAATGGAAATGAAGCTTTGTAAGTAAGGAGAGGAAGATGGCTTAAAAAGAGGGAGGAGAAATGGGAGAGAAAAAAGTATATTATGTACAGGTACAAAATCCCTATGTTGAATGTGATCATTGTATATACCTAAATTGTATCAATAAGCTTAATTAAATTGAAAAAAGATTGGAGGTCTCTATATCACCAAAGAAAAGCATACTGGAAAGTAGGGAATATGGGAATTGGAAAGAGAAGAGGTTATATTCAGACAGCTGGATATTGGGACATATAGTTTTGCTGGTATAAATGTGGTACTGATAGTCAGCACCAGCTAAGATATAGGTGGCTAAAAGGCAGGAGGTGAAGATCAAAGGATGAGCTCAAAATTTATGAGGCTAGAATACTGATGGGATGGAAAACATGAACTAAATTAGAAAAGAAAAAAACTAGTAGACCAACATAGACATTTACAAATAGGAATTTAGAACAAGATAAGTAGTGGGTGGACATATATCTTTGTGGTATGATTTTTAAAAAAATGTATTTGTTATAGAGTCTCACTGGGTAGCCTGGACTCGTAGTGATCCTCCTGTTTACAGCTTTCCCTGAGTTGGCATTTCAGGCATATGTCAACACACTTGGTGGCTGGCTAGTGTGCCCAGAGGTGGGGCTGGCGAGGCCAGGGATTGAACCCTGGCCCCTGCACTTGCCTAAGCAAGCGCCTAGTCTGCTGAGCTATCTCGCAAGCCCTGTGATATGATATTTTAATTCCATGGGGTGGATCACAAAGTCTATCACAAAGCGTATTTGGAGATTAAGTATCATTTAAGTCCATGGTGTTGGTAAGTTTGAAAAGAGATATAATGTGGTGGTTAGTGTGAAGTTTCAACATCTCCATAGGGGCTGGGGAGATGGCTCAGTGGAATAAGCACTTCCCTGGTAAGTGCAAAGGCCTGAGTTCAATCCCCGGTTCCACCAAAAAAAAAGAAAGAAAGAAAGAAAATCATGAACTTTAATAGACCTGAGGATCAATGGAATAGATTAGAAGACACTGAATCCCCTA